TCCCTCCTCGTTAAAAAGATCGCAAGCAGCTAAGAAAGGAGCAGAAACCAGAAAGAAGAACCAACGTCTCAAGGAAGAAGCTGAAATCAGAAGAAGAAAGGCAGAAGAGGCCAAAGCCAAGGAAGAAGCCAGGAAGAAACAAGAAGAAGACAAGCAAGAGTAGGCTAGACATTAAAGTCCGAAATTGACTATAAACTATTGTACTCTGACTTTAGAACAATGTACCAAGACTTAATAAAAATCAATAAAAATTTTGTTCCTTGTGTTGTATAGTTTTGGCATCATCAAAAAGGGGGAAATTGTTAGTACCCAATTTTGATAAAGATTTTGATGATGCCACTATACATAACGCGTGTACATTGTGTCTCAATTTTATTTGAATTATGTGACAAAATTAATGTACAATTTTTATGACTAATAAAATGTTACGGGAAAAAGTAAAAATGCAATAAGGTAATTTTATTTACCTTAATAGGATATTTATATCCTACCCGTATATTTTATTAGACCACAGAAATTAAAATGTCACTAAACGAGACCAAGTTCGTAAATAAATATACAATGAATGTATATGATTGGAGACAAAAACTTGACCGGTATTAAATACCGAATCAAGTACAGGGGTCTACGGCGAAGATGCTTCAGCGGCTGAATAATGCAAGACAAAGAGATCAGCCGCAATAAATGCTCCAGCACAAAAAGACGAATGTACAATTCGTCCTCGTCAAAAGATCAACGGTAGAAATCAATTTATCCTAACCAACGGATAAGATTGATCAGCCAAAAAGCCTATAAATAGAGGCTGAAACGAAAGTTTCTAACCAAGCATTTGAGCATCCAAAGAGAGAATTTCTATCAAGAGCATTTACGAAAGATCTAGCAAAAGAGAAAGTGCTATTCTAAACTTTACTCTCTGCTTGGACTTATGCTTCACTAAACTTCCAGTTTACAATGTTTTTCATTGCCATATTATAGAAGTTTAGTTCCTAGTTGGAGGTTGGAACTTTCTTGAAACAAATCACATATTGTTGTAAACACTTAGGAGAACAGTTGTTCGGATCCTACAGTGTAAGTAGATAGATATAGTACCTTTTGATCCCCACTGGGTCATTAGAGAAAAGTCTAAGGACTGAGTAACTTTGAGTGGTGCTATACTCACTGTGAAAAACCTTCAATCTAGGCCTAAGTGTTGTAAAGGCTAGATTGGCACTAAGTGTATTAGGCTTAATACTTTAGTGAAATCCATCTGAAAGAGGGTGGGACTGGACGTAGGAGGATTACACCACCTCTGAACCAGGATATACTGTGTGTTGATTTACATTCAGTAAACAAAGCACACACGTAGCACTTCTCACAAAAAGGATTGAAGTTTGCCAGCAGAATCTTAAGCAGTTGTCTTAACTGACCCAACTGTTTATCCTACTGCTTAATCACTTGCTTTCTATGAGACCATCTTCACACCTGAGACGCACCTCACCATCTCTAAAAGGTCTGCTCTACCATCTCCCAGTAATTCACCTTCTAAGTATAGCAGGTGCCTCAGCAGTTCCCTGAGACCACCCAACTGCTGAGCCCTCTGCTTACATAAAAATCACTTCCCGTGACCATCTCAGTTTCACCAGCCTGCCATAAATATCATTGTCAAAACGTACGTTCAATTCCTGAAAGTCAGATCAAAATCTGAACAGTTGCCTCAGCAGTTCCCTGCTACCTAAGCCAACTGCCAAGCCAACTGCTAGCCATCTAAGTCCAATCTTCCCCAGATCAGAAAGTGATTAAAACATTCATTATATAAAGGGTAAAGACTTCCGCTGTGCATCTATTAATCTCCCAAAAGATTATAGATCAACTCCTCTAGAGGGAAATATTTGTAAGGATCGAAAAGATTTAAAAGTCTATTCATCCCCCCCCCCTTCTAGACCTTTTACCCTATCCGGGACCATCATGATAACCACATAATAATATGATATGGTAACTTAAGATTTGGATGGTCTGCAGAGTGTCCTTAACTCTATGTAAGGTGTTAAGATCGGATCAATATATAGTAGGAGGGTTTAATTTGGTAATGGATTGTTATTGTGAAAATCAGTGCCTGTGTGTTAAGATTTATCAATGGATCTCTACTTCTCAATTGTTTACACGTTAAGTTCTACCAGCTGATTTAAAAAAATAAAAAGTTGAAATTAATTGTTAAATCATTGCTTTTTGTTTCACTGTGTTGTTTTTTGTTGATTTTTGTTGATCACTTTTCAATTATTGAATTTTAATATTGTTGTTTTTTGTTTATTTATGTTTCCATTTGTGATTTTCTTTAGTATAAATGAATTTATAAATACAGTTATCAAGATTTTGTTAATAATAACTTTTGTATGTGTTAATTTGATCCATGGCTTTGTGTTATCTACCTTTGGAGGTGTAGTGGTCAAATGTGGTTCATTGTATTGAGATTAATTAGCTAATGCAGAAAAATATGAGAAGTGTTTTTCATCAAGCGATCAGAAAAGCTTAATTTGGCTTTTTCAGAAGAAAGGAAAGGACCTCAGGAGACTGGAGGCTTTATTCCTAGAAATTATGATGTAAACTTGATCGCATCAACTTTCATTTACTCCTTTGAACTTCGATACCTCTCAAGAGTTGGATATCCTAAACCAGGCTCTATGTTGGTGGTGTAATACATTTTGTTGCAGTGTGATCTCTCTAATTTTTTCTTTTTTTTTTGATTTCAGATATCAAATGGCTACTTACCTAGGGGTTACAAATGTGATGCTCAATCTGAAAAAACACAGCAACCCAATAAAAGACTGTGCTGGAGCAACTAAATAGTTTAACGGTGAGATTTTTTTGTGTGCAAATGTGCCTATGCTTACAACTTAATATTGATCTAGAATTATGTTTATATTAGGCTACATTTTTAATAAAATATCTAATTTGTGATCTATTTTTTATAAATATAAAATTCTGTAATTATGTGCATTCTAAAATGTTTGTTTTATCAGATTACCAGAAGATGTGAAGAAGCAAAATCAAATGATATAATACACAGTAGATACATGTAATAAATTGAGTTGACAAATTGAATTGTATACTTATTGTGACACTTGTATGTTGGTTTTGTTTCTTATTGTTGTATCATGTGTATTACTTTTTGTTGCACCATGTTTCTTTTTGCTGTAACATGTTGCTTTTTGTTGCATACAGTTGATTATTGTTGTACTATGTTATTGATCGCTTTTTATTGACGTAGATTTTTGTTTTTATTTAAGTTTCTATTACCTTGGTGACTTTCCTAAAATCAAAATGTCTATGTGGATTTAAAAACAAAAACCTAAAATGAAAATTTTAGATCCATGAAAGTAAACAACAACTTGAAACATAAATAAACAATAAAAAACAAAAATTTCATAATTATAAACAAAAGAAAACACAAAAACAATATGCAATAAAAACATGTAATAAAACAGTAATAATTCAATAGTTTGATTGCTGTATGAAATATTACATTATAAAATTCATATTTTTTATTTTTCAATTTTTCAATTTTTCAAAGTTCATTATTTTAATTTTTCATATTTTTATTCTCTAAGTTTATTTTAATTTTAAAGTTTTTTAGGTTACATTATTTTCTAATTTTTTAAAATTTATTTTATCCATTTTTATTTTTCTCACTTTAATATAAATTTAATTTTACTTTTCGAATGATTTCAAAATTTTATATTTATTTGAATTTCTATTTTCTTTGATATGTATATTTTCCAGTTTTTTAAAATCACTACTTTTTCATAAAAGATTCTGATTATTTATCATATTATTTAATATTTTCAAACATTTTTATATGATATTACGCATTTTTAATAATTTATAGCCGTCGATATGTTTTTAACTATTTTACACTTTTTTATAAAAAAATTATTTTTTATATCTTATAAAATAAATTATATTATCTATTTAAAAACACTACATTAAAATATATTTCTCAATTTTTTTTTTAGTTTTTTACATGTTTTTTATTTTTCTAACTTTTTTGTAAAATTTAAATTCATTTTCTTTATTTTTTAAATTAGTTTACAATTTTCCAATTTTGCATTTCTTTTATTTTTATTTTTTATTTTGAGTTTTTTATGTTTTTAAGATTCAATTTCCTTTTTCTAATTTTATTGTTTTCTAAACATTATCAAAAATATGAGTTAATGAATTTTTACATTTTTAGTTGAAAAATAAAAAGTTGAGTGCATGCACGTTATATGTACTGTTCGTATTAGTTTTTGAGAAGTGGAGCAGTGATTCAAATTTACATGCATTGGTGTACATCAGTACATGTCAGACGAAAGAAATTTTAGACTGTGGCCTTCATGCGTGCCAATGGTCCATTTTTGAAAAGAAACATTGAAGTAATCTATATTTGAAAGAAAGTTTTAAGGGGTACAAAATTGATATTACATTCATTTTTTGTCGATTTGTGAAAATTTCCCTTAATTATAAATGATAGCCGCTGGGCCTAATTAGGAATCCAACCCGCGAAAGGAACTCTTCACCAGGTCGAGTTGGACAACAGACCTCGAGCCTGAACGGAGTTCTAGTGAGGTCGGACTCTTCATAGGACTTGTGTGGCAGGCTATTATTTCGAACATAGCTATCTGGCAGCGGCATAAAATAACGGAAGAAATGTGGACCTAGAGTAACAATGATTGCACAACGTTCGAAACGTTACAGGACTCTATTACATTTAATTGCATTAAATGTATCAGTTTCCTTCTAATCTACTAGAACTGAAAGTCTATAAATACTTCATGTACACATCCTACTAAGGATCCGAATTCCAGAATAATAATACAGCTTGACGATGTCTACATTTCATCTGCTCTTGTAGTTTGAATTAAACTCTATCAATTAGTTAACACGAGAGCCAAGAAATATAATTCGTTGATTTCTTATGTGTGTGAACATGATTTTATCATTTTATCATACCACGATGACGATGATTGAACTCATCGAAGTAATTTAGAGAGTACTTGATTATTTCTCAAAATGATTGTGTGTCAATAATTTATAGGAAAAACTGTCAAATGGATCCATGTACTATTGTCAAAAAGTAAATTAAGTCAACGAAGTATTAAAAAACACTCAATTGTTCCATTTAGCCAGTTGGAGATATATATTGCTGGTAATAGCTGATGTGGATGCCAATGTGGCAATAATTTTGATTTTTTCCTTTTTCTTTTTCTCCTCCTTTGTTTCTCTCTTTCATTCTTTCCCCTGACTTCTTTTTCCAATCTTTGGAATTGCAGCGACTGCTTTTCTTTATTTCTTTCTTCTTCTAGCACTTTCTTCTCTCCCCCAATTTCTTTCTTTTCCACTTTCCGTTCTTTCTTTCTTTCTTCCATTCTTCCCGAATCCCGATTGTCTTTCTTTGAGTGGGCGGCAGGCGGCGGCAGATGGAGATGTTGTGGCCAACAAGAGGCGATTGAGGAAGACATGGGAGACGGGCGACGTACGGCGGTGCTAGGTAAGCTTTGGTTGTGGACGATGAGCGGCAGAATTGAAGAAATCACGGGTGAAGAGCGACACATGACGGTGGTTGGAGAAATTCAGATCTACCGGCTAACCGGCGATTAGGAAAAGTTGGATTTTTTTTTGTGGCAGTGGTTGATGTTCTTTTGTGGGAAGAAATAAACCAAGAAATAAAGAAAGGAAAATTCGCAAAAATATCTGCGGGTAAAGAACAGGGAAGAAAAGCCTAGGGGAAGAAGAAAGAAAGAGAGACGAGAGGAAGAAAGGAAAGAAAATCAAAAAATGAAAGAAAAAAAATCCATGTGTACCGCCATGTAGGCTTGGGATCGGTTCGGTTCTTGTTAAAATTCGATAGAACCGTATTAAAAATTACAGACGCTAAATTTAGTTCGGTTCTAGTTAAAAATGTAGTTGTTAAATTCGGTTCTAGTTAAATTCGGTTCGGTTCTTACACTTTTTCGCTTCCTAATAAAAATTTATTATCCTCCTAAAATAAACACATTTCACCTTCAGTTACATAAAAAAATCAAATTTTAAATGATGAAATTATGACCATTACATTATACACACATGATATTCCATTTATGTCAAACATAAAGTTTAAACATAACAACAACATAAAGGTTTAAAATAGGCATCAACTATCAAACAAAAAGATTTAATAACTTCAAGGTACACATCCAATAGCAGGTAGTTCAACCTCAAAATAATATTCTTCTAGTAGTAATGCACCATAAATAAAAAGCACACGGTAATAAACTGACCAATAATATTTGTAATAATCAATGACCGGAATACTATTTCCTTATTGTGATAAACAACAAATACAATCACAAACAAATAATAGATATAAAAATCGACTTAAGTAGTAAAATAACAACTACTAGAATTGACGTGATCCACAATATATAAGGTATATTATGAAAGACAAATATTCCTAATAATAATTTTTTGCCCGGAGTACGTACGACCTTCAACACATGACAGCCCCCGGCTACGTACGGCCTTCGACACATAAAGGGCCCCGAGGTGCGTACGACCTTCAGCACATGACGGTCCCCGACTACGTACGGCCTTCAACACATGAAGGCCTCCGGGGTACGTACGGCCTCCGACACTACCCCAACAAGATCTCCTCCCTGTACGCTCCAGATTGCCGCATTAAATGCTACGTCGCATCCAAACCACCGCATTGAATGTGCCCACATGTTGTGTCGCCGCCACTCTGGCTGCGTTGACCCCCATCGCTTGTTACTTGCCACGTGTACCCTCATTTATTGCACCTAGCATTTATGGCAGCTGTAAATAGCTAGCCACTTCTTCATGTAAAGGATCCTGGATCCCAGATCCGAATCTCGAGTTCATTTGTAATGCACACCTACTCCATCGCTCTCTTACTTATTCTGACTTCTCTCTAGATACCCTTTAGCGGCATCCCGGATATACTATCCGTCATATTTCACTTTACATCAAATTTAATTATTGTATGATTCTAAATGGTTCAATTGAAATTACAAGTTTATTTATTTATTTATTTATGTATTTATTTCAAATTTGACTAAAATTAATCATACCCGTGAAATTCCACCAACCGTGCATCGCACGAGTGTTGTACTAGTTCCTTTAACAAGATTCATTAGAATGTAATGAGTTTTGTCAGTTTTATGAAAGTCGAATGATTAAATATGAAAATTTTCAAATACGGGTACAAAAAGTATTTTTCGCACAATAGTGGAAGGATTAGAAGTGAAAAAAATCAAAGTTAAGTACCAAAAATGTCAGTGACATAATAATCCGAGGATTAAAAGTGGCAAAAACTCGAATGTAATTCACTAGTCAAAACTAACACTCGCCTGCTAACACTTTCTCGACTTATTAGCATTATTATCCAACCTTTTAACTAAACATATAAATTTTTTATTTTAAGCATTGAATAGTGTAATAATCATATAACTAAGGATAAAGTAATTTTTTAACAGCATTGGTTGAAATTACTGAAGAGAACAATTTGCCTATTTTTTCATATAATTGTTTCTTGGTTTTTTATGATTCAACATATTCATTCGAGTAAACTTTTCAGACAAAGTTTCTGCAATTTGAACAACTCAATCCACTTAATTTTAGTTACGTTCCTCCAGTAGAGGTTGAATCCCCAAATCCAAGGACTCACCACGCCCGATCCGACAAGGCATATGATCTATGTAGCATCAATACTTGACTAGGGTATTGTATCGGCGTATCGAACATGTCTCCCGTATCATATATTTTATGATACATGTAATGTACGTTCGCGAGCTGTATCTGCAATTTATTAGGAAAATTCAGCTTTTTTGGTAATTATTTTAAAAATCCGGATACACTTATCTTAACGGATATAAACATCAACGTTTTTTTATAAAGAAATTACACAAAAAGTAAATAATAGAAGTCTTAAAACATGTTTCATATTTATTAAAATTTATTTTTTATTAGAATATCATTTTCTATCTTAATTGAGAATTTTCATTTTTACACAATAATTTTTTATTTTATGATTGTGGTTGTTTGACTTGTTTCTCATTCCAAATTAGTGAATTATGACTATATTGTATTTCGAGCTATGTATGAGATGAAGTACAAATTCATTCGTAACTATTTTGATAACGTGAAATGCTTCAATGTCATGAAATGAGTAGGGGATTATATATGTATTCAAAAAATTCTTGTAATTTTTAACATTTACAAATACTCCATTATTTTTAATGTCTATGAATACACTCCCACAATATTTAATATATTCAAATATAGTCCCTTATGTGTATCCTATTTTTGTTTTTTTTTTGTTTTGTTTTGACGTATCCCCTTACACGTTTCAACGTTCCTATATCCATGCTACATGGTATACGAGTGATTGTAAATTACGACGATTCAGTCATACCAATGATAATAGATCTTATATTCATACGCATCAGAGATCGAAATCAGCACACAAGAATTGTATCCCACACGACCGTTACGAATTACGATACTTGGTCATTTTTTAACTTTATTAACACTCGATCAATTGAACTACCCTTATTCACCTAATTTTAGGCTCCCTTTGGAAACAAGCGTGTTGGCCAAAACCCCAATTACTTTACAAACAAACGCCGTGTTAGTCTTACTAAAGTATTTATTGATTTTGGGGTTTACGAGAAGAATGGTACCGAGAAAAACTTTGACGTGCCGACCTAAAGTCAGCGCAGATTTATATTTTCGACGCCTAACTGGCAGCGTACGCCGTAAGAATTCCCCGCCATTTCAAAAAATTCCTGCTCCTTATTTCAATATGTTCCCGCTAAAACTACTTCCCCCAATCTGGGTAAAAAGACCTACTCACTCGCCTGCGGCCTGCAGTGTTCTTCCTCGAGTCACCGGAACAGAGTACTCCGCCGCATCTAATAATTCCCGATTATGATGAAAGCGAAGAACCGAAAAGCAGACCAGGATATGAAGTCGACGGCAAATCCTAACCTCACACCCGCCAAAACTGTCATTCACATCGGCGGTATTCCGGTGGAGTTTCCCTTCCACCCGTATGGCACGCAGCTGGCATTTATGAATAGGGTTATTTCGACCCTTGATCGCGCGCAAAGGGATGGCCGGTCACACGCGCTGCTCGAGTCTCCTACCGGTACCGGAAAGTCGCTTTCCCTTCTCTGCTCTGCACTAGCTTGGCAGCAGAACTTCAAGTCAAAGATCCGTTTTTCCAATCTCAGCCACTCAAAACCCGACCCGGAGGCCCTATCTGATCCCATTGGTCATGGTGGTGGATTTATTCCGGAAACAGAACCCTCAGGTAGTGACCTTATGTATTGTGAACAATATGTAGTTCGTACAAATAAATGTTAAGGCATTTTCAATTGCAAGTTTTTTGAAGTCTCTGAGTCTCGACTTTGCCGAGCTGGCTTTTCTGTGCAGGAAACCCAGAACCAGCACCATCAGTCACGGCAGCTGGAAATAATCGGAAGACAGCTGCAGTTGGGAAGAACGGGAAGAAGAAGTTGGCGCCCACTATTTTTTATGCCACGTAAGGCTTCATTCTTTTGAATCTTTTTTTTCCATTCTGCTGTTTGGCGCAGATAGGGAGTTGGAGCCTTTTAGAGTATAGAAGCACTGGAGATGGTCTGTCTAAATTCTAAAGTTGCTATATGAATGCAAGCTAGCTATCTTTGTTTTTAAACTTATTTTTTTAATTATTACTCGGTATTTCAAATACAATCAGTTCACTATTGTGTTTCTGTGTAATCAGGAGGACCCATTCACAAATTTCTCAAGTAATCAGAGAGTATAGGAAGACGTCTTATCGGGTCCCAATGGCTGTGCTTGTAGGTTCTTTTTTGCTTAAAGCAATCCGCTTTTCAATAGTCACTCTTATCTGCTGCATAATCACAGCATCAACCAACAGTCTCCTATAATGTGTACTGTCTTCCTCCATAGTTGCAATCTATACTTGAGGTGTATGAAATTAATATGATTCCACTTATTTTTCAGGCATCACGAAAACATTACTGTACAAATATGAATGTACGTGGGATGGAAAATGTTGATGAACTATGGTAATTTCATGATCCCAATATCTTACTTTTACTCTTGTCTCATAATTATATTATTCCTTTTAATGTTATTTGTTTCTCTCTCATTTTTTCTGCATTTGTTTCATTATTTGCTTACATGTACGGTTGAATATTCTAGTAAGTCATTGCTAAAAGGAAATGATGCAAGCTGCTATGAATTCAAGTGAGTTACCTTTCTCCATCTGTAATTGCACTTTACTGCTCTCCTATGGACGAAAACGATGCCACATAACTGCCCTTTACCTGACAGAAATGCTCATAAGGTCAAAGGTCATCCATCTCTCCAGAAAGGAGCTTGCCATGAGGCTCATGATATCGAAGATCTTGTCAAAGTTGGACAAGTTGTTAGAGGTTGTGCTCTGTACATATGAATTCTTCTATAATTTTGCACTTAAAATGTTATTAATGTTCTACATTAATAATTTTTAATGCTCTGTCAAATTTTATTCAGGATGTTCGTACTTCGCAGCACTTTCTATGGCTGATGACGCGGAGCTAGTTTTCTGCCCATACAGCTATATCATTAACCCAGTTATTCGGAAAGCCATGGATGTGGATATCAATGGGGCAATCATTATTTTTGATGAAGCCCAGTATGTATTGTTATTATAGGTTTACCTGGTGCAGTTTGTTATACCGCAACAAGTTTTTTGCACAAACTTCACTTTCTAGTCACGTGTATGTGCATAAACTGAGTCATCAGACATTAGACTTGTACGTGCATGAACCAATGTTAGACTTGTGTGTGCATGTACATACATTAGACTCTTCTGTGCGTGCAAAGACACACACTAGGGATGTCTTTGAGAGCAGGCCATGGCGAAGTTTATGTAAAAGGCGGTTTGCATACAGCACTTTTGTAAATTTTAGGAGTTGATTGGATATGCAACATTGTGTACAAAATAATGCATCTAAGAGAATGAATACCTTTGATTGATGCCAAGTTTTCACGTGTTGTAGTGATGAGTATACTTCACATGTTTTTTTACTTTATCTAGTTTTTTATTTGGGCAGCAATATAGAAGATATCTCCCGAGATGCTGGTAGCATAGATGTAGAGGAAGACGTCTTTCTTCGTGAGCACAAACTCAAATTTCTTGGTTTTGTTTTGTTTAGTTTCTTTGAGTTCAAATGACTAAATGTGAGAAGTAATTTCTTCTATATGTCACCTTAATATACTGATTTCACTTTGGCAGAATTGTTGACCGAGCTGGAGCAACTTGCACTTAACGATGCGATGACTTACCAACCATTGATAGAAATGGTGCAGGTAATTGATTGAAACATTATATCTACGCCATTTGAATCCATTTCGTTCAGAATCTCAACAAATATTTTCACATTTCTGTAGGATATTATTAATTGGATTGACAGAAGGAAAAACAGCCTAGGAAGGCATGACTTTCAACACTACTTTTCAGGGTGAGCATTTGTTTTGCAATCCAATAATTGGTTCTTGCTCTTTATCTCAAAGAAATTGCTCCCCCTCCTCCCACACACCAATCCCCTTGCGTGCATGTGTGCTTTCTAAAACTTCTTGTTTGAGTGTCAGCATTATGTTATATAAGGAATGACGAACAAATTTCTTTTTTGTTTATCCCAAGTCTTGGTACAGTTCCCCCTTGAATAAATTGCTTGTTTGACTGAAGCTATTTCTTTTGTTCATTGCATATCGATTGACCTTGGGTGTTTTGTCAACTAATTTTCAGTTGGACTGGTGATAAAGCTTTAAAGGAGTTAGAAGAAGCAAATGTGTCAAGACAGTGCTTCCCAATATTACGAGAGTGCGCTACAAAGGTTCGGTATCTTATATGCATTTATTATACACTTAATATACATATCACAACCTACTGCATGTCAACATTAGTGTTAATTCCCTTGCTTTGGTTGCCATAATTGTTATTGTCATTGTTACCTTTCCCAAAGGCAATCAGACTGTCTTCTGATACAGAGTCTGATGTACCTCAACTGACCGGAAAAGCAGCAGCTGTTCTGGAAGGTATTGCATCTTGTCACTGACCAATGCAATGCATGACTTTGCTATCAATGGAAATTTATGATTCTATATATGTGCTACTGTTGTTCAGGGTTGTTTTCTTCACTTAGTTACTTCTTCTCAGAGGATGGGGCTCATGTATGTGATTTTCAGCTAGTATTGCAGCGTCATATTAAAAGGGTTGCTGGTATGTAGTTAGAAGTCTAAAAAAACACCACTTGGTTATAGTTTATTGTTATCCATCTCAAACACAGAGCATCCTTGCATTTCATGATGAAAGGATGGAGCAATGGACACATCACATTTTAAAGTTATCACACTTCTCTAATGGAAGTTATAAAAACGATTTTTAAGGAATTTGTTTTATGTGGAGTTTGAGCTCTTTGTAGAGGAAATGATGGAGAAACAATACCAATTTACTTTAACTCAACCTATAATTGATATTTCCCCCCTTTTTGACTCATCACATTTACACACATGCAGGAAGTGCTGTTAATGGTTGGACTCACACATTTAGCTTATGGTGCTTGAATCCAGCTGTTGTCTTCAAAAAAGTGGCTGATCTTTCTCTATCTGTTATTCTTACATCAGGGTATTCATGATTACGTGCAAGCCTAAATAGAATTTTAGCATCGATACAAATATTGCCCCAGATTAAAAAAAGTTATGCTTTGTTTGAGCTCAATTATTTTAAGGATACTCTTATGTTGTCCTAATCCAATTCAAAAATATAGATCAACTTTGCTTGGTGTACATCTTTTGTGTACACACGTCTGTCCCCAGCAGATAAGTTGTCTGTCCACAGACAAGTCTGTAGAGTTGTCTGTGGACAGACAACTTGTCTGCTGGGGACAGACGTGTGTACACAAAAGGTGTACACAAAAGGTGTACACCACACATTTTTCAATATAGATTGTCAGTTCCTTTGGGCAAATATGCTCGCAGGGATTCAGCACAACATACTTACATACTCACTGTAGATATTTTACTCTGTAGATAAATTGGTGCTTTTACGCACTTAATCTTTTTTATCTTCAAATTTTACTTTCTATGCTAACGCCCATGCAAGCTCATCATAAAAGGTCATTTTGTAACCAATGATTTCTCTTACAGGACTTTGTCACCCATGAACTCCTTTACATCTGAACTTGGTGTTCCTTTTAATACTTCACTGGAAGCTCCACATGTTATAGACACTGAGTCACAGGTATATAGGCATTTTTTGTTATATACATGCCCCATTCTCTTTTAGTTGCAACATATTGACTTATGCACTATTTCACACCTTACTATGTCTCCATATGTATTCTCAAAATATCGACTCTTAAATTTTTAATCATTAAATTACAATTCCCTCCGTCCTATTTCATCTGTCATACTTTCCTTTTTGGGTTTTCTCAAAATAAGTGTCATTCTTCTTTGGAAAGAAATATGTGGTTTACAGCATTTCACTTTATTATACTCAAATCTGAACCCTAACTTTTGCTTTTTCAACCACTTTATCAATAGTTATTCCAAGTCAAAGTAAACACATAAAATGGGACGGAGGTAGTAATATATTTGTGGTCAAAAGCATTTCTTGTCAAACTAGAAAGACAAACTATTGCAAGTAAAAAATAGAGGTTAGCACATGTCTATGATATAATAATGTGCTGACTTGCTTGATGTGATCTTCAGTTATGGGCTGCTGTAATCTCCAGAGGCCCTAGAAACTATCCACTGAATGCAAGTTATAAAACAGCAGATTCATATGCCTTCCAGGTATTGTAAGCCATTTAGACTAATATTTGATAAAAAGAGTCAAGTTATCACCCACCACCACCATGACCTTCTCTCACGTGTCTCCTTTTCTTTGTGAAGGACTCACTTGGTACATCTATAGAAGAAATATGCAAGGTTGTTCCAGGTGGCTGTCTTATATTTTTCCCTAGCTATAAACTGATGGAGAAATTAAGAAGTCGCTGGCAGGAAACAGGCCAATGGGCTCGCGTTAATGCTAGAAAACCGCTTTTTGTTGGTAAGATGTGCTTAGATTATATCATTTGACTATCAATACTTTATTTATTTGCACATGAAGGGGCCAAGTTGACTACAAAGTAGAAACTATCTACACTATATTTGTGGTTGCGAGGAACAAACTGACTTTGCTCTGTTATTTATTGGCTGGCTTTGTTATATTTAGAGCCACGAGGAAGCCAGGAAGAGTTTGAATCCGTTTTGAAAGGTTATTATAAATCAATTCACCAAGGAAGTAAACCAGGCTTGGGAAGAAAGAAAGTCAGAAATTCTGGCAAGATTTTAGCAAGATCTTCTGAAGATTACAAGAAAGAAGCAGCTTTTCTTGCAGTCTGCAGAGGAAAGGTATTCTATCAGTGATTTTATTCCTGGGACGTTTTTCTGCCTGTGATCATAAGATCTCAAACTTTATAACCCTTTTTGGATAAATTGGACTGTATTTTTAAGTCCACTTCTATTTCCAGTCCCATCACAGACTCGATGTATTTGCTAAAAGTTTGAGTTGGATGTCTAATACTTCTTAAAGCTAACATGCTGGATATCATTATTTGGAATATTCTGTTCAGTAATTCCAAGCCTCCTTCTACGTTCTCATATATTTGAGTATGTTAGATAACAACATGCTATTAACATTTTTCCAATTTTGCTGAAGATGGAAGTCAAGTGTTATCCTACTAGTCGAGTACTAAAGCTCCATACTTGGAGATTGTTAAATGAAGTACTTCCTGTCTCTAAATGTAACATTGGGTCTGACACACTATATAAAGAGAAATAAAAGTGATGTTATTTAGTTAGCACCCATCAACTAAAAGGTTGAAAAGAAAGATTAAAATATATTTTGGAAAAGTAAAAGCTATTAGTATTGTTTTTAGGAAATAGCTTTATTTTGGTGCAAACTAAAAAGCGAAGTGGAACTTACATAATGGATCACATGTAGGCTACATAATTTAACTACTACTTTGGCTTGACAGCTGGACTTATTTTTCCAGAGGCATTTTTTATGTGGCATAGAATCCATCATCAGCACAAGCTCTAGGACCAGCGAATTCACTGTTAAGGTCCATAAGAAATCTTTTGAAGTATTTGTGAGTCATGATCATTCTGAAAGTGAAAGGAATGCCTCATTTTTCTTGTAGCCCCACAGCAGACATAAGATTTCAGATTTTGCACACATACATAAATAGGACTTATAGATTCACTCCAAATAATTTTCAACTTAGTGAAATAGTCAGTCACCACATGTATTCCTTTTTAGGTGTACATTTCTTCCATTAGCTCACAAATACTATATGTATCTATTGGATTGATAGTACATCTCTCAAATCGTTCTTCATTTTAGAAGCAAAGCCAGGTCAAATGAAAGTTTGTAAAGCAGGAGAAATTGAACGATCCAAGGGCTTACCATAGTGTTACTTTACTAACATCTCTTCCAAGCTCTAGAGGTTGGATAGTTTCTAGGGTGTGCTTTAATTGTTCTGTCAAAAAGTTCCATTTGTTTGTTCTTAAAAGTAGGTCTGTCTCATTGCTCGGGACCAGGGTAATAATTGGAGGAAGGATAAACAAAATCAAAATCGGGGGAAGGGTTGTTATAGCATAATTGTTTGGAATCAGAAAAGGTTAGATATATAGTTCACGCACCCCCCTTATTCCCAACATGATATGGTGCCCAGGGGCTGCCTCGCGAAGACCTTTGATCCGAACCTTCACATCTACTGTCTCTTAGAGAATGAATCATGCCATCCCCTCACTACGGCTAAATCTCGCTATCGCAAGAATATAACGATCGAAGAGCTCAAACCTACAATATCACCGTTATGAGCGGTATGTTTCAACCAATTAAACTATAAGCCCCTGTGTCCAACTAGTTGCGAAGTGTTTAAAGTCAGATGTGAACCAAGGCATAGGCATTTTCGGGGACCGGCCTCCTCCCTTCTTTCTTTGGTCAGAATACAAATGAGCATCCAAAAGAGCTCACACCCGATCCCTTTTATCTGTGTATAGAGTCTCAAATCCACCAACATCTTCAGTTTTAGAGGAGAATGGTTGATTGTATGTTACCGACGTAAGAGAGCTGTCAGAGTTGATATTGTGGTGGAGTGATTGTTTTTATGCAATTCAAGCTTGTTCTTTCATGGCAACGAAGAGAAAACCGAAAGCAAATGAAGGAATCCTTGACTCCTTGTATTTAATATTATGAAATCTTGCAATTGAAGTACACAGAGATAACTTATATATGATAAGAAAAACGGTCCTGCATAATAACTTTTGAAAAGAACCAACATCTTAAGTACTTTTGCTATCTTTTAGCTCGCTATCTTGATATGTCAATACCTTTTGCAACCTGATTTTGTCCATCTATTAAAGTCAAATTTGGCATGTTGTGTATCTTCTGAAATCAAATATGATTAGTGCAGGTTTCTGAAGGTATTGATTTCTCCGATGACATGGCTAGAGTGGTTGTATCCTTTTCCCCCTTGAATGATGTGAACACGGTTTCTTTTTTAGTTTTAGACTTTTAGCAACAGATGAATTTGATATTTGACGTAGTATCCTTGATAGGTTTTCCTTTATTGAGGGTTCACATTGCATCTCAGATTCTCAGTAAAGATCAACCTTCACTACAATAGTAATATTCTGTAAAAGAGTCATGCTTGTTTAGAGGTTTATTTAATTAAAGGAGTTTCAATGTTGACACGTGGCTCCTTAATTCTAATTATATTACAGATAGTTGTTGGGGTCCCCTTTCCAAACATGTGAGACACCATACTTGATCTCTTTATTTGTTTTTCTTTCTTTATTTTGCTTGTATAATTTGCATCATTTGCAATGGAGCCAAAGATTCATTATTTTTTGGCTTGAGATTATGATGGAATAAAGCAAAATGGCACACTAAACTGTGTGCGCTTCTTTGTTATGGAGCAGCAGTCAGTCCATGCAATTTTGGATGCGATTTTCACTATGGGTCATCCGGAAACAGTCTCTCTGTGCTTTAGTACAGGGGTAAGACTGCGTACATCCGACCCCCCTTACCCCACCGTAGGTGGGAGCCTTTGCGGCACTGGGGTAAATGAAAATGAAATGATTTTGCTTGTATAATATTTTGAATTCTGGCTGTGTATGATCAGAAATGATATTCAAGTTGCTCAGAAGAAGAAATTCAATGATACATACAAGCTGTCCAAAAGCCTTCTTAGTGGAAGTGATTGGTACTGCCAGCAAGCATTCCGAGCTGTTAATCAGGCTACAGGTGCACACCTTAATAAAACATTTAACATGAATAAAGGAAATTGTTATATGAAGCACTTCGAACTGGATTTGATCCTGATTTTCATTACCTTTCTTCCATGTAGGCCGCTGTATTCGACATAAATTTGATTATGGAGCTATCATTTTTTTAGGTAATTATTACTCAGACGCACATTTTTTCTGTTTAAGAACTGATATTGACAAAACTTACAAAAGGAGCTTTACTGATATAACAAAATTAGGATACATGTAGATGGAAATCATAAAGAAGCCTGGTTTTTGTTCATTCTGTTTTCAGGGTATTAGACTAGTACCTCATTAGGGATAACTGATATAAGCATTGATTTGTAATAAAATTCGCATCATATTTTTCAGAGAACTTGTTGAGGTTTTCCTTTACATACAGATGAGCGCTTTTGTGAGGCAAGAAATAGGGGATACATTTCAAAGTGGCTGCGGAATTCAATTAAAGAATACGAATGCTTTGAGGATTCATTGGATGGGTTGAAATCCTTTTTCAGAGATGTGAAGGTACTTCATTAACATTCTTTCTTTCGGGATAGGAGGGAGCAGATGGGATAACTGCAAAATATAACTGTGGTGTTCTTTTTCTGCTTTCTATCAGGAACATATTGGGAAACTGACAGATGCCACACAAAGCTCTGTTGCTAATCTCGAGGTTACACCTTGTTCAAGTAAGAGCCAGATATCTGCGAAAAGCAATCAGATATCAAATGTTTCAACTTTGCCAAGGGAAGATGCTGAAGAAAGTGTTGCAAAAAGAAATCAGGAACCACCTGGCCTACCCAAACCCTTGAAGATGCTCTCAATATGTGATTCACCTTATAATGGAGTGAGCCCTGATATTCAGGGCTATAGGTCTACAAACAAAAATAACTCTAAAGACAACAAAACTTATATTGATTTAGAATGTGATTCTCCAAATGGCCCCAGGTAGGATTTGGTAAATATTGATTTTCCAACTAATCTGTTACTTAACTACAAATTGACAGCCTACCTATCAGTGTTTGAGTTTTCATTATTCCGTTTGGTTGGAATATGCCAATATACTGCTGCTCTTGTTCAATGTCTAAGATAATGAGATAGCATGCTGTCATTTTGTATCATGAAAAATAATACTCTATATATTGGTAGGTGTTATGGAGAAGCATTGATGGCAGCTTACATTAGTGACCCAGAAGAATCAGCTTTTGGAAAGGAAACTCCTAGTATCAGTGGCACTCTTCATTCTACCTCCCCCCAATCATTCTCTATTGAATATTCCAATTCAACAGTAATTCAAGCATCTGTTGAACATTTAAACAACTTGACATGTGATAGTATGACCATACATGATCCAAAGATGAGCCCTGAATCAAAATGTTATATGGTCACACCTTGTGCAGCACGTAATGGTATAACTCCTGATGTAGAAAGTATAAACTCCCATGCAGAAAAAAGGAGAAAACACTTCGATTTATCCTCTGTTAGCCACCTCAATGTAGAGAAACTTGATTCTACAGTCGCTACCACTCCTGTCAATGATTACACCCAGCCACGCTTAAGGGAGACCAAAGGTGAAAACATGGGCACCTATTGTGATTCCTTGGTCAATACATCATATAACTATGGGTCTAAATTTCCTAGGTCAGGAACCCTGAATCATTGTGATAAATTACATGTGAAGTCTACCCTTGTTTTGGACAATAGACTACAAATTTTTTGCTCAAGCTGCACAAGTGCATTGGGTCTTCCTGAGAACAACTTAATAGTTCATTGCTCAATCACTTCATCAACAAAGATTCATATAAAATCACTTTGGCAGAAGAAATCAGACCTTGATTTGGGAACATCAAGCATTCCTATTTTGATAACCGATATGGAATCGATTGATCATCGAATCTACAATATAACTTGTGAAAGTGCTCCTTCTGAGGGGATTTGGTGTAAAGATGATGGATGTGTATTCAAAGCTATTTTCTGCCCATTCTGTGTCAAACCAACCAATCTTGGTGTACAGGTCATGGCTGCTGATGCATCAAATATCCAATTTCTTAACAAGGTATGCTTTTATGCTGCATCTGTTTGACAATATTGTTTGGCTTTATTCATGTAAGATGCATGAATGTATCATCAATCCGACATTTGATTCTGTTAATGATTATCTTTTTCATGAACTCTCATCCTCTTTGTACTTGTTTTTTGTTTGCAGATACTATTCTATTCTGATTCCCTCTTGATAAAGGCCACTGATTCATCAAAACTGGTAACCTTCTCGTCTATTTTTGGCTTCTATTGTCACTTTTTACTGTAAATCTCAATTAATAACTTGTGACGCGAGAGTTTCCAACATAATGTAGTATACACACAACTGCATATAAAATTGGACTGTGCACATTATGTCTCATCCCTTGATGTACCCTTTAATTTCTCAATACATGGCCTAAAAGGAAAAGTGGAAAACATGATTAAGAAGCCAAAGTTTTTAGTTTCATTGGCTTCATCTTTGTCTGGCATGTTGCGCTCCTTACTAACACTACATTTGATTCGTGACCATTCTAGGATTTGCCCCCATGTCCCGGTGACTCTAGCACCATTAAGAGTTTCTCTTCCACTCCTTATAAGAGTTCAACATGCTCTAGCGCCAGTCCCAAAGCTGACCCTGGTACTATAGAAAGTTTCTCTTACACTCCAGATGAAAAAAGAGCTACAGGATGGAGGACTACTAAGTCAAAGGTCAGACATTATATTCAGAAACAATATCATCATGCCAACATTGTTTTTCTATTTACTAATGGAAGGAAGGACCAATTAATGGTGCAGATGCGACTTCCAAAGAGAGAGCGGTTTTAAATGCTTTCTACTTAGTAATTACAAGAATTGCTGTTGAGTCAAGCTCTTTCTACAATCCTGCATTTAGAAAGCTTCTTCCAGGCAATTTAGGAATGGAATTTAATGCACGTGTATAGAAGGATGCTAACCTGCTTTGGAATCTTTGTGGAGATTAACTGCTCTTGAGTCTTGCCATACCAGCTTTCAATTGAGCAGTAAGACAAAGAATCTAAAGATTCCTGCTTCCAGTGTCTTGGCTGAAAAAAGTCCGTTAATCAATTCTATGGTATTTTTAGCGCAGAGCTGTGGAATTGTAATTCATTGCTGTTTCATCTGTATAGACGTATAGTGTTTGCTCAGCTAATCACTTGAAACCGAAAGTGAAGTTCAGTTGCCGCAGCCTTCATTTATTTATTTATTTTATATTCATTTCCATCTTTGACATCACTGCTCACTTTCTATGCACTGTTTTTCTCATTTTGTTGGTTAATTACTTTTACTTTCTCGAAGATTGATCAAATTAACTTGTCAAGCACACCCAGTACCAAATCAAATATTTTATAAGCGGCAAAGTAATTTTATTTATTTTTCTCAAAAAATGATAAAGATTTGCTGAGTAGTTTGTCTCACATAGTTTAAATATAAAACAAATTAACATACAAGATCATAACCAACTCCTGTTAGGTACTTAGGTTGATATTTTAGGGTGAAATCAAACCTTAATAAAGTTTGGGTTGTGCTGTTTGTAGACATGATTTATACACATTTTGTTCAGATTCCTAGTTGCCTGTGTCATTTTTTGAATGAGCTGCCTGTGTGTCAGTTTCTTAATGAGTTGCCTGTGTACACAGACAATTGAGGGTGTATACAAAATTTTATCTGGTACGATGCAACTACTCTCTATCCCAAGTCCAAGACTAGGCCATGTAGGGTTGGATTCGGTTCGGGCCACCCGGCCCGTGACCCGGCCCGACCGCTACTGTGCGGGCCCGGGACCGGCCCGGTCGGGTGGTCCGGGACCGGGTGTATACTCGAACCGGTGGGGAGGGGCGGGGCGGGTACGGTTCCTGAAAAGGTTGACCCGGCCGGGTCGGGCTCGGGTCCAACGGTCCAATTTTAAAAAAAAAAATTGTTGGGCCCCAAAGTAGCCGTTATGGCCTTGGGGGTGGGCTGGGGACAACCCAAATGGCTATATAGCCGTTGGGTGGGGTGTAGGGGGAGTCCGGGGGGTGGGGGGTAAAAAAATCTATAAATACTCCTAATCTTAAACATTTTTTCATCTCTTCTCCAATTCTTCCTAAATCCTATTCTTAACTCTCTACTCTCTAATTCTCTTGTTCTCCAATATATTATATTTATTATTTATATATCTACTTTATACTTAAGATGGAAAATCAAGATGCCGTTATACGGTATAATTTTGATAAGCAGAAGAACCCGAAGACCGGGATGTGGTACATAACTTGCAAATGGTGCGGGAAAAAATGTAGCATGGGGGTTTCAGGCGGATACGGGATGACAATGAAGCATATGAAGTCATGTGACAAAGCCAAAGGATCGGGAGGTGCGGGAAGTTCCGATTGATTACAATTTTCAAAATGTTTGTCTCTTGAAGTTTGTTTTAATTTTCAAATGTAGTTCCTATTTCATTTCAAATAAATGCACTTGAAGTTTGTTTTTAATACTTGTATAAAACTATAAACTATAAAATATAAATTAAAAAAAAAATCTTTAACCGGCCCGGCCTGACCCGGCGGGTAGCCCGACCCGTGACCCGGGCAGGTGGCCCGGCCCGAACCGGACCTGTCCAACCCTCGGGCCGGTCCCGGGCCCATGTCATACAAACCGGCGGCCCGACCGGGCCCGACCCGGCCCGAGTCCACGACTAAGGCCATGGGATGTGTGAAACTGACTGGGATGCATACAAAATGTGTACAAATTATGTGTACAAACATCTTTGTCCATAAAATTTTATCTAGTACAATGCAACTATTCCCTATCCTGAGTCCAAGCCTAGGTCATGGGATGTGTGAAACTGACTGTAATGGGATACATCTTGTTTGGTTCTAGCCTCTAGGATTGTGTTGAAATCGAGACTGGTTGGTTTGGTACCTATTTAGGGTGAGCCAAATTGGGAACATGGAAACTGTCAAATTTTGGGCATTAAAGCTGAACAGTGACAAGTTCAGGCCTCAAAATTGGACTGTTTGTATTGCTGCCGCTGCCGCCACTCCTCCCTCATGGTCTGTTTGGTATTCAGAACGTGCTTGACAAAGTGAAGAAATATACAACAAGAACATTACTCCTGCGCCACAAAGGCTCCACCCACGGTGGGGTAAGGGGGCCGGATACCCGGATGTACACAACCTTACCCTTGTACTAAGCACAAGAGACGTTATTTCCGGATGACCCATAATGAAAATCATGTCAAGACAGACTATTGCTTTATAACAAAGAAGCACATATAGTTCAGCGAGTCATTTTACTTTATTCCGTCATATTCCCAAGCAAAAAAAGCGAGTCTTTGACTTCAATTGGAAACGATGGAAAATGACAAAGTGAGGAAATAATGGAATAAATTTGGAATGGAAACGTTGAGGGAAGTAAAACATTGGTTGATTTTTTTTGACAGAAACATTGGCTGAAATTCAACAAGTTTATTATTCGCTCAAATTCAGTAGAGTATTTCGAGTGGCAGCGTCAATCCCAAATATAGCAAGTTTGGATCATTGCCTCATGGAAATGCATATTGCACAAACAAAGCATGCTAGAGAAAATATCCATAGAGTTCCAAGAAGCAGATGGAACAGTTCCAGATGCCCATCTCATCTGCGCTAGGACCAGTCATCAGGATTCGAAAAAATCTGAAAGGAAACAACGGGTCAGAACCAATCACTGGCCAGGATGCGAACTGACCAGGCTTGCAAATTGTCTGGTCTTCCTTGTGCTCTATCAAGTTTGTCCAGTTCACACCATCTCCAGATCCCTGTAACATTTCATCCCCCAGTCAACACCCAACCTTCTCAACAACATTATTCATTAATAAAATTACCAAGGATATTACAACAGGAAGTCATGTTTCCCACTATATGACTAATGTTTTCTTTCCTAATCTGATGTTGTTCCTGATGCACAGTAATACCACTTTACTCTTATGACCAACTATATGACCAACTATTGAATGTCTGAATTAGCCATACACCACATAACTTTAATATTAATACTCACATCAAGAATCTCTCAATGTTTTAGTCACATTAAGGTATTTATTACATAATTCCATTGCATGCTTACCTGAAAATTCCAGCTTCTCATGAAAGTCCTTGATCCATCCTGGCGTATTGTGTAATAGTTGCACATAAGCTGCATCAACACATTGAAACATTCATTCTCCACAATTCCACATCATTGTGACTTTCCACAACTTCTTCAGGAGATGAGATTGTTTTAAAACAAATAACTTGATCTTTATTGATAAAGATGACAAGAAACATTACAATCACAAAGCTCAAGGCTACAATAGGATGAGACATAGAAACAGATGATTCAAATCGAAAACGCTGAATCGCTAATCCCGCGAAGAAGTAGACTCTACTTGCATATTGGTTGCTCCTGTCACGATCACAATAGTCATCAAAAGAACTCTTAAACATCCCGGTTTGTCTAGCCACCGGTAAGGAGCCAACCGTAGAATTTGTTCAAGTTTCACCAGCCACCGGAAAGAAAGCAATCCAAATCATCTCATCATCATGGAACGGCGGTGGTTTAGGAGGGGAGCGATCCATCTCAATATCGGCACAAAAGAAAATCATATGTTTGATTGATGAAGAGATCAATGCAAATCTCTTCTTAGCACACAAGAACGCCCAACCGAAAGTGGCGGGGAATATGCATCTGGCAGACGATACTTCGCTACCGAAAATAATATCTCCAAACAAAGAAGATTGAAAGAAGAGGAGAAAAGAAGAGAAAAGGAGGCGGCGGCTAGGGTTTCCCCATGCCATCACCGCTCCTGTATGGAGATGAGAAATTTTTATTCTCTAAAATAGTGAAATGCACTCCAATTGTAATTAATTACAGAAAGAATAAGCATCATTTATCCCTACCTGGTGATCATGACCTAGATCAACCATCCACCACGAGCTAATGTTTCCATTTTCGACCTGAGGTCCAGCAAAAGAAGTACCCTGGAAAATACACTTTTTTTATTATTCTTCCAAATAATATCTTGTCATAGTTTAATGATATATATTCGAACCAGCAAAGGATAAACTCCATCCCAAACCGTGTTGTAATTTATGGGGTTTAAGGTTGACGGTGATATAATATATTCTCTCCTAATAATATTTAACAATTAAAACTTCTATATTTAGAAATTACGCTCAAAGTTGTATTGAACTGTGAAAAGTGAATTTGAATATGCTAAAGAGTTGATACTCAAAATCAGAAAATAAAAAGGAATTGCATTGACTAGTGGATAGTAAAATTGCAACTCAATTTAAGGAGGAAATTTTAATGAGTATAGGATATACCCTAAACAGTATGCACAGTACTCTCTTTATATTTTGTAATCATACATTCATACCTGAAAATTCCTTGAGACCAAGACCTTAGGATCAGTGAATCTTGAAAAGGGACTGCTTGCTGTAATGTTTACTCTCTGAACATCGAACTTGACATGTTAGCAATGTATAACTACAATGTCACATAATATGACTAAGAGGGCAATGAGGGTGTACAATTATACCTTACACAGAACAGGGTTCATCCACTGGTGTGCACCATATGATGTGCCTGCAAAATAAAAAACCCCATTGCTATCCCCATCACAGATGTACTGGTGCTCTTTAAAACTGGATCTTCTGTGCTGAAACCTGAGGCAGACACGTAGCTATTCTATTATTATAACCGGCACTTCCCCTTGAACTCAGTAAATGCTTGACAAAGAGAAAAATGATGGAAGAAATTTGGAAAGAAAAGAAAAGTGGAGGATAGTAAAACAGTGATTCAACTTTAGTAAATGTTATCATATGTTCAAATCAATTTTCTTTAATTTATTTTCATTATAAAAATAATAAGAAAACTACACATCCAAAAAAGGAAAAGGTAGAACATTAAGCATATTTCATTTTCAGAGGAAAAACACGACATAAGGAATTAGCTTCCCTTAACATTTTCTTTCCTTTCCCAAGCACTTTCTGGGATTCTGGGATACATAGTGTTATCAAGATGAAGTCCTTTTACTCTCATTGTAAGGGAAAAAACAACAAACAACAACAACAACAACATCCAAGCCTTAATCCCAAAAGAATTTGGGGCCTTAATCCCAAAAGAATTTGGGGTCGGCTAACATGAATCGATCTATGATATCGATGCCAAAAAGAGAAGACGGACAAGAAAGGGAAGAAAAAAAAGTAAGATAAAATGAATAAAATAAA